CCCCCCGCCCCCCCCCCCCCCCCCCCCCCCCCCCCCCCCCCCCCCCCCCCCCCCCCCCCCCCCCCCCCCCCGCTATACAATGACTACTTTGCTCCCTGTTCATATTTGCAGACGGGTTGTTCAGACAGAGCTTCCGTGTGTCACGGCGCTTGTTTACCTGCGTAGTGGCGCTATACAATGACTACTTTGCTCCCCGTTCATATTTGCAGACGGGTTGTTCAGACAGAGCTTCCGTGTGTCACGGCGCTTGTTTACCTGCGTAGTGGCGTAAGTAACAGCGACGGACTACTACTTCATGAAGCGCCTAGATGCTTTCCACGCCAAAAGTTCACGGTAGCTATGAGAATGCCTAGCATTGGCGTGTGCAGGGATTGCGATTTTCTCCCGAACAACTATATTAGTAGTACTATAGTATTGAGCTATTTCTAGTCGACCACCTAAACGCGATCACCTATAACGCGTTGATCATGTCTCGCGGCCATCGATGCCAGCCTGCGCCGGATCCCCTTTCGCTTCGGCAGCATCTGCATCTCAGCGCGGTTATCCGTTCATGCGCGCAGGCAGCTTACCGTATCCCGATCCCAAACGCGCTCCTGAAACGCGTTGGGCTCCTTCCAACTTGGAAGGAGCTCCCCACTGCCAAACACGTACTAACGCGTACAGCTCGTTGCTACATATGCGATAGACACCACACCCACAAATCACACAGGGATCGGTTCTGCGCACTAGCAGTCGGGGTTGGCACATCTCAGCGTCGTAGATGAGAAGGCAAGGTGACAAAAGCGTTTCTTGAGCAGCTGGTAAATCATGCTGCGCTGAAGCATGCGGTCATGTAAAGCGATCCTGTGCAACGAACCGTTCGTTTGTGTGCTAAATGCCGATAGCGGACGTCGCTCTGTTTAGCATATACGCTCGAGATGATGGATCTATCGGGCTAAACAAGAGGTGAGCCTTGTCGGAGTAATGCTCAAACGCGATCAAACCAGACAGCGTTGTTCAAAAGATAAGCGCCAGTCTCTCTCTCTCTCACTCTCTCTCTCTCTCTCTCTCTCTCTCGAATCTTTCTTCTAACAATCGGATAGTAGTCAAATATTAATATCTTCTCGGGAGATGCCTAATAAGCTACTAAAGCAGTTTAATAGTAGCATGCTGCTAGCTCTCACCTCACTAGTACTATCAGACAAAGTTACTATCATCCAAAGTTACTATCAATCCCTGAGCGTGTGGGCTAATGCATTGAATTAGTACTGCCGGATTGCAGAATCAACTGCATTAGAGAGTTTGACAACCGATTAGGGGCTTCGCACTTCAAATCAAAACGGTTGCGAGCCAACAATGCCAGAAGCGATCCAGGGTTTAATCCATAATGGGTCATTTGCGGAAGTGCCGTCGTTTGTTTATCAAGGAGCGATCAAGTATAAGTGGGTTTTCAAGACGAAGGCCAACCGCAATGAGAGACTCGACAAATACAACGCTCGTGTGGATGTGAAGGGGTTCTGCCAGCAATTTCACGATATGATGACGAGCAGCAGAGCAGAACAAGATCGCCACAACTCGCAGCGACGTCGATCCTGTGCCGCTCGAACGGCCGCAGTAGGTCGACGGAAAGCCGAGCGGTCTCCTAACAAAATCACAGCGACGGGGTGGAACAGGCAGCATAGCGGCGAGGCAATGACGTAGCGACGTAGTGCGTGGAAAGCGCAGACAAGCAG